ATTGTTAATTGCTGAAAAATCACCCCCCCCTTCCGTTCAAGTCCCTCTGACCTCTCTGTGGGTTTCAACAGAAGCTTTCAATGTCAGTCCTTGCAGCTTGGGGGACTGTGGCTGAAGGAACGCCAGGGAGTGTGCTTGGGGGTGCTGGATAAATGCAGTATGGAGGTAACGAGCTCCCCTCTTCTTGGCTGCCTGCTTTGGTCTCCTCTGCAACCCAATCACTTGCACACAGTTAACCAAATGACTGCTCCGGGCTGGAGCCTCCTGTTACGTGGCCCAGGAGCCTCATTCACAATCATCATTAACCGGAAAAGCTGCATGCCTGCTCTGTGCCCAATAGAATTGAGTGTCATACAATATCCCTGAAGCCACGGGTGTGGAAGAGGCCGCAGAGGCTAAAGAATGAAGCTCACAGTGTGCAACCACCAGCCCAGAGCCATGCCCCTCCTGTCCCCTCTCCCAGCCCTTCATCAGGTGCTAATGAGCAGGGAAAGGGCTCCAGGCTGGCAAAGGAAGATGACGGGAAGTGTTCACAGGACCCGGAGTGGGACCTGAAGACGTGGCTGTGCGCAGAAGACCTGGGAAACCCTTATACCAGCTGTTAATCCTGTCAGAAGCCTTTCTCTGCTTTAAAGTAGGCATTTTTCTGAGTACTCCAAAGTCTGCTTTTAAATTTCTAAAAACTCTGCTCAGGTCTTCTGCTCTCCTCCTGCCATTTGATGTACTGTGTCAAGCAGAGTTAATGAAGCCCCAGGGTGACTCAGGATTTCCAAAGGTTACCCCAGAATCATAGAGGCAGTGTTTGGCTTTACTGTGCAACTCGTATCTCTTTCTTTCTCTCCTCTGAGATATCTAGAACCCCTCCCCATACAGCTCCCCATTCCCCAACTCATTCAACACACATCCACCCACACAGGCACATGGATGCTACGAGGAATGGCGCTGAAATGCCCCCTTTTAGATTTTGCATCTGTCAGACACTTAAATTAAACCCCATTGTCCTATAGCCCCTCCCATTCCATTCCATTCATGCATGCACATAAGTTGTGTGTGTGTGTGTGTGTGTGTGTGTGTGTGTGTGTGGTTCTGAGGATAATCCCAAGGTTAATGGATTATAGCTGGCAAAAGCTGCAGGCACCTGGCTGGCTGGAGGCAGGAGCAGTCTTCTCTCCCCAGGGAGGAGGAGAGACTAAGCTGTCAGGTCTGGATGCAGAGGAGAGGACTGAGGTTTGCAGGGTGGTGCTGGCACTGGGTGGAAGTATCAGAGAGGGAATCATTCAGAAGTTTGCCAGCAAGCACTTTGTGTCTTTTTTCAGAAACTTGTTTATCAGAGCCTGTGGTTAAGAGGAGGACGTCTTACAGCCACCTTGGTTTAGCCATTGTCCACTTGAGAAGTGCTGAAGACTGACTTCAGAGTCTCAGGTGGACACTGCAGACCCTTTCCTGGAGCAACCTAGCTGTGGTGCCCAGCAGTCCCACTCCACAAAGGGCACCTCTGCAGTCGAGGTAGCAGGCAAGGCTGCCCAGGGGAGTGGCCTACGGGAGAGGAGCCAGGAAAGAAGGACTCCTTGATTTGGAAACAGGCAAAGGATAACAGGGAGGAAGGAGTGCTGAGTCAGGACCCCGCGCCAGAACCGCAGGAGTCACAGCTTGCCGTTGGCTCCTACATTGCAATAACCTCTGAGAACACAGAAGCAGAGGCAGCCTGCCAAGAGCGCTGGCTGTCTGGGGGCCACTTTTCATGGGGAGGGAAAGAGAAGTGCAGGCATCATTAGGAGCTCTGCTCTGTGCAAGGAATCACCCTCACAGGCAGAGACCAACAGATATGGGGAAACAGAATCTTATTTGCTCCACCTTCTACAGCACCATGGACAGACTGGGACCACTTTTCTTAAAGCTGAAGTCTCCCACGCTCAAACCTAGCTACTTTAAAGGATCCTTTCCATTAGGGTGCATTTAGTGTGTAATGCGTATAAACAGGATATCTGTATGGCCTGGGAAGGCTCTGCCTTCGGTGTAGGAAGAAAGGTGTCAGGCATCAAGGCATCCCAGCTTAACGAGTAATCACCATAAGACTGGGAATCAAGGTGACTTCTAGAAGCATGGTAAATATATAATTTCTCTTTCTAGTAAGTGAATTTTGATTATAATTGAACACTGGCCTCAGGTCCTTAAATGCTGTTAGAATTCTCAAGAAAGATGTAAAATGTAAAAGATAAAGCTAAAAATGCTTCGACAAAGAAAACCACAGGCTGCCCAACCTTCTTTGTACCTACATGCAACTCAGAAAATTGAAAGCAAGGTTGCAGTCTCCCCGTCCTTGGTCACCATTTCATGTACCAGCCTGTCATACAAAGTGCGGGGAAGCACCACAGATCAATAGCTATTCTGGGTTCACATTGCCACAGCTCTCCGTTTTTTCTTTAAAAGAAAAGAAGGACTTAAAAAGAAAAAAAAAAAAAACATAAACCACAGCTTAATGCACTGAAGACACATTTCTGTGGTCTACTTATGGTAATCAGGTTTGGAAAGAGAACTTTTTCTGAGCTTCTGTGTACTTTTTAATCTAAGAAATAGGCAGCAATTCTTCTAAGTGGTTGTTCCTGTAGACACTGCAAAAGGCTGTTTGCCTTCTGGTGAGATGAGTGCGTGAACTTACCCACCGAGCCACCTGGACTTTGGGAGCGTGCACAGTGCTCGTGGAGAACCCTGCCAGCCCCGCTGCCTGGGAACAGCCCCTGCATCTTGGGTACTGGGCCCCAAGTCCTGGCAGCATTAGCAGACTTGATGTGTTTTCTTTACTCACAGCAATGCTTTTGTGAGCAGAATTCTGAAGTGTTTTTTTTTAATAGGAAATAAAAAGTCAAATGAGAGTGTATGTGAAATAGTGAGCCTGGGAAGTAGCCCCTTAAAGCGTGTGTCACCTATTTTTATGTTTTTGCTTATATGATTTCTAATTTGCTTAAAGACTTTAAATGACAATTTTTGAAATTCCTAAAAATTACATCCCAAAACATACATTTTTGGAAAGAGGAGAGTGTTACAGAGTACCCTCCTGGTGTCTCTTGGTGGTCTCCCAAGGCTGTGGAGGAAAGGAAAGCTGAGCAAGGGTGAACTCACACAGCTGACCAGCGCGAATTTAAGGCATCCAGCCCTGATTCAGGACCCCTGGATGGGGGCAGGAAGATTAGCATCAGGCAGACATTGCTGAAAAATATACATAGACTGCTTCCCTGAGCCCTGCACCTAGACCTTAGCACCTCGTTCTTCCCCATCATCAGCTGCAGCCAATGAACTGCATAAATTCAAACTTTAGAAATTCTGTCTCACAAACAATTTTAAAGGTATTAAAATGCAAAGCAGGAGTAAACAAAATTTCTTGCCGCAGGGAACTAACTAATGCAAAGTGACAAAATATGAGAGTTCAGATGTGTCTCAAAAGTGGCTATAACATGGAATTCCGATTTGTATTTTAATATGTATACTATACATTGCTTTGTTAAGAATGACTGCGAGAGGACTCTCATTTGTAAAACTAAGCCATAAAGGAAATAAGAAAGTGGGATGAGAACAGAGAGAGAGAAAGAGAAAGACAGAGTCAGAGAAAGACAGAGGCAGAGGCAGAGAGACAGAAAGAGACACAGAGACAGAGTAGAGAGAGCATGAATGTGTGAATGGTAGGTGAGATGTATTAGTCACAGTTTGGAGACTGCAGAAAGCCTGTTCCTGGACAGAGCAAGGTGTAGAGACAAAATACAGTCCATAGACTCTACTTAGGACTGGCCTTGGCGAATGACCTCAGGAGCTCCAGGCAGTTCCTAGAGACTTCGAGGAATGGGAGGAGGGGCAGCCCTCAGCACTGACTTGCAGGGTTCCAGCTGCGGACAGTCTGACTGGTGAGTTTGCAAAGTGACGAGCAATACACAGCACTGCCCACAGTGGTCTGAATTACAGATTTGTCTTCACAGAGACGCCTGGGGGTCCTGCTGCAGACACGACCCCTCCCTTCAGTACACTGAGGAGGACCGGAAAGCACAGCCAAGGGGCTCAGAGTTTTGCACGTGGGGAGTTCAGCTGGGTCCTCCACACCCCTTACCCACCTTCTTCCCTACCACCCCTCACAGGTGGACATGCATACACCCCTCAGGCGCGGCTGCGACGCCAGTAGCCATCCCTCTAGGTTTCGTGTTTTAAATGTTCTCTTAAAGAGCATTGACCTGAAGGTAACGGTACAGAGGTGGTAGCCAAGCAGGAGGCAGCCGAGGTAACTCAGCATCAGTCGCCTGCAGGGCTCCCAGTGGCAGCAGCTCCAAGCTGCTCTCCGCCTTATACAATTGAAACACAGCCCTCCTCCTCCTCGTCCTCCTCCTCCTCCTCCTGCTCCTCCTCCTCTTCCTCTTGTGCTTCATGCAAAGCACACAACTAGCAGGCAAAAAGGAATAATCTAAACTCTCAATACCACACACACACACACACACACACACACACACACACACACACACACAGAGTCAAGGGTAAACACTTTGCAGAAAGCGCCCCCTTGCCTCTGCCCTGTAGCTACTTCTGCATTAGCCAGAGGGACTTCCGAAATTCCTGTACTTAGCTACCTTTCTCAACACAGAGGCAGACAGCGATTTGGGTAACTTTTCAAATCCTGTCTTCTGAACACTTGCAAACAAATATTTGGGAGAGAGGCATTCCGTCACCCTCACTTCTGTCCCCCACCCCTCTCAGCTGACAGCAGCAGGGGAAAGACACTGGCCCTTGACTCCAGTGCTTCCTGCCAGTCAGGAAAACAGCACACTGTCAGCAAGAGCACCAAGCCACCCAGAGAGGCAGAAATGAGCCAAAGCAAGCATCCCCGGCTGTAATGCATCCTAGCACCAGCAAAACAGTGTTTTCCAGAGCTCCACGTGCATGCTGGAGGGTGACTGACACCTCCGAGAAAGAACTAGAACCCAAGCGGAATAAATACAAAATGATGAAAGGCAGCCACTCACCTTTAGGTTGTGTGTGGGGTTGACTACACAGACAAGTTGCCCGGCGGCAGAGAAAACCCGTTTAGCCTTGTAGTGTTGGAACCGGAGGTGAATGAGATCCAGCACAGCCCCAAAGCACTGAGTAAAGAAAAGCATCACAACTTTTGGGGGGTTGTGGGCACCGTGAAGGAAGCTGTAAGTCCTTGGGCTCGGGAAGCAGTGCAGTCTCCGAGACACTCCGCTCCAGCCCGGCTTAGCCTGCCTTCATATTCATCATCAAAATAAGACGGTTAGAATCTTGCAGCAGTGAGGCAGCCAATCAAAAGGACAGAAATGTTATCCTTGAGGTGCAGAGACAGCCAATAACAAATGCCTCCCCTACTGAAACTCCCTGATGAATTGAGCCTGACGGGGAATGTATTATTGAACATTACCATAGATCAGCACATTGCATTTATCTTGTGATTACAGCCAACCATACATAATGCTGGGGAGATAGGCTGACAAAATTGATTGCTTAATGTGTCTCCATTTATTAATTGACTTAATTTAACATGAGAGCCTTTCTTAACGCCCTGGCAAAAAACGTAAAGCATTTAAACCGCCAAATAGTAAAACACCTCGCTCCAAACTAGGCAGATGGATAACGCAGATCATGGCTCGACTCACCAGAGCTGCTTGGGAGAAAATCAAATATTACAAGACTCTGATTCCAGATAAGAATTTGGCATAGCACAAATGTGTGTCATTCAATCTTGCGCTCTAACATTCTGTAATTTGGATTACAGTCCCTTAATAAATCTCTCTCTACTTTTTATAAAAAAACAAAACAAAACAAAACAAAAAAATCCACAAAACAAAAACAACCATTGCATGTGGAGGTGAGGCAATGGAATGCATACATGTATTTCTTCCAGAATACTGTAATTACTAAAATCTTTTATATTAATGCATAAAAGTACACAGGAATGCTTCTAAAAATAATGAAATTTCTGATGCATGAATGCACACACAGAGAAAAATCTACACAGAGAAGAAAGTGTCTTGTAAATCAGCAAAATAATTTCAGATGCAGAGAACCTTTGCTTGTCATTCATTTGCATATTGGTGGGCAGCAAATTGCTAATTAACCACGAGGTAGTTGAAGACATTAGAAAAGAGAGAAAAACACACACACATCTCTTGCTGCAAATGCTAGTAGCACATTTACGTGCTGGAGCAGGCAAAGGGACATTGGAGTCCTCGCACTGCTACCCAGCACTCCCTCTCCACTGCCTTCCCAGCTGGGCTGGTGGAGCCCTAAGGCCGCCCCCACCCTTGGATCTTGAAGAAAGCCTCCCGGCAGGACTTAGAGGGATTTAGGGTTTCTGAGAATGAGCTCTTACGGCTTGTTTAATTTTTGCCACTAAAGCCAGGAGAGTTAGGTGCACTGTGCTTTCCCTCTTCTCGGCTGTTTCTCTGTTGAGCAGTCAGAGCAAATCCACTGCTGCCTGGGGCCAGATCAGCCTGAGTGTGAGCCCATTCCACCTGCCCTTCCCGAAAGCCTCTCGCTCTCATCTGCCTGTGCTGTTTAGACTGCAATGCATAGGGAGCACTGGGTACCTGAGATAGCCAAGTTTGTGACCTGCTCCAGCCTGGAAACTAAGAACAGATTAAAATAAGGGGGAGGGGGAGGGATGTACATGCTTAATGAGACCAGACAGACCCAAGGCTATTTTAATTTAAAATTAAAACTGGTCCACGCTAGGGATGTAGCTCAGTGCCTGTGAGCATGAGGTCATGAGTCTGATCCCAGGTATCAAAAAAGAAAACAAAAAACAAGAAAACTGGTGCAATATCTTAAAGGACAAGCAGAACAGTATATAAAATTTAAGTGTTGCTCTTTAAACAATGATAGCACTGGAGCCAGTGTATGCATGGTGCATGTGCTTTTAATGCTAGCATTAGGGAGGCTGAGGCAGAAGGATTGCCTTGAGTTTCAGGCCAGCCTGGGCTGTGTAAGTGAGTTTGAAGGCCAGCCTGTACTACATATGAGACCCTGTCTCAAATAAAAGTGCACTAGCATAAAACTAGATGATACCATTTAAACCGATTAGACACTTATTGATGTTTCTAGGAGATACGAGTCCTTGGTTTGTCAGCAAGGAGTGCTGGTCTACAATATAGGAATCTGCTGTCTAAAGTTTGTATTGTCTGGGACATGCTTTCTGCAATTCAGCAGGAAAACGTATTTTGTGCTTTTATTTTCTTACTTTTTAAAAAATAGAAGTGAGCTGGGACACCCAGGGATTCCTTAAAGACACATTTCATACTTCAGAAAGGTCCACACTTCTTTCACGTCCTTGGTTAGAATGGAACTACTATGTTGGGGTCTTGTTTCATTATGTTTCCATTTACATTTTTTTGTTCACTTGTTTATTGTTTTTTCACCCTGTTGGATATAAATCTCACGAGGATGAAGCTTTCACTGTTTTTGGAAAGATTTATTTATAATAAAATAATTACACGCAAACTGAGGATGCCATCAAACAGGACATCAGTCTATTACTTTGTGCTGATAATCCCATGGTTGTGCTTAAGATAGAGAAATCAGTGTTTCTTTTATTTTTAAAATTTTATTGAAGGTTATTTTTAACAGTAGTTTTAGATTCATAACAAAACGGAAAGGAGAGAGGTGCCATAGGCCTCCTCTCCCACTCACAAGCTTAGCTGCTTCTGCTCCCAACATCTGCCATCGCAGCGCTGTAGGACCTTGTCACCATCGGTCACCTCCACCGACACCATTGTAACCCACAGTTTCCATTAGGGTTCATAGCATGCTGTGGGTTTGCACAAGTGAATAAGGACACATACCCACTACTGTGGAATCATGCGGGAGAGCGCCACTGCCCTAAAATTCCTGCGGGCCCCTTTATTCATCTCCCCCCCTAACTTCAGGCAACCTTTGACTTTTTAACCATCTCCCTAGTTTTAACTTTCCCAGAAAATTGCTTAGTAAGAACCAGACCGTTTGTAAGCTTTTCAAGTTGGCTATAATTCCCTTGATAAATGCATTAAGGTCCCTCTATGTCTTTTTAGGGCTTGATAGCTCATTTATATTTTAGTGCTGAATAATATTCTTTTTTTTCTGAATATACCACACTTTATCCATTCATCTGTGTTGCTTTAAGTTCTGACAATGATGAATAAAGCTGCTATAATCATTCATCTGCAGGTTTTTATGTGGAAATAATTTTTCTATTCCTTTAAGTGAATACAAAGGCGTGTTATTGCTACTTTCTATGGGTTACATGGAAAGGGAATATTTACTGCACAACAGTTTGGCGATAAATATACTCCAGAATGGTTGTGCCTGTTTGCATTCTCAGAGCAATGGGTGACTTCCTCTTGTCCTACACCATCAGAGGCATTTGATGTCGCTGTTCTGGATTTTGAATTACTCCAGTGGGTATGTGGTGGTGTCACACTGTTTTTTAATGCATATTTTCTTGATCTCAAATGATATGGAACATTTTCATATGCTTTTTTTTTGCAATCTCTGATGAGGTGTGCAAATCTTTGACTCACTTCTTATCAAATTGTTCCTTTTTTGTTGAATTTTTAAAAGTTCTTTGTGTTTTTGATATTAGTCCTTTAACAGATGTGCAAATATTTCTCCCAGCCTATGGCCTGTTTCCTCATCTTATCATTATATTTACAGAAAAGAAGTTTTTAATTTCAATGAAGTCTACCTTATCAGTTGCTTCTTTCATGGTTTATGCCTTTGATGTTGTACTTTAAAAGTCATTGACATGTCCAAGTTCCTCTATATTTTCTTGTATGTTGTCTTCGATGAGTTTTATAGTTTGTGTCTGGTGCATCATTCATTGTGAGTGTGTGTGTGTGTGTGTGTGTGTGTGTGTGTGTGTGTGTGTGTGAAGGATTTAAATTATGTGTCTATAAACTTTTTTTTTTTGAATGTGGATGTCATTTTTCCGGCATCATATATTGAAAAGACTATCTCATTAATTCTTGCACTGAAAGTTCTAGCTAAAATAATTAAGGCAAGAAAGGAAAATAAAATTATTCTTGCTTCTGGCCTCAATGGGAAAACTTTTAGTTTCTTACTGTTAATAATGTTAACTGTTCGTGTTTTTTGCTGTCATTGTTGTCTGTCTGTTTTGCTGTTTGGTAGGAATGAGGATGGAACCTCCAGCTTTGAATATGCCAGGCAGGTGCTCTACCGCAGGATTACATCCCCAGACACCGTAGGTTTTTATGGATATTATTTATCAAGTTGAGGAAGCTCCTCTCTTCATTATTCACTGAGAGTTTTAACCATAAATGGTGCTGGATTTTGCCAGATGCTTTTGTGCATTTATTGTAATCATGTGATTTTTCTTTTTTAGCTAATTGATGTGATAAATTGCACTAACTGATTTGCGAATATTGAATCAAATTTACATGCGAGGATAATTCATTAATGTACTGTTTTATTCTCTCTTTGTAGAACCCCTGCAGGTTTTCTCAACCTTCCTGAGGTTCAGTTCCCGTGCCTGTAATGTGGAGCATGGACACTCTTTCTTTCCCAGCGTCATTGTGAAAATTAAATATTATACCTGGATGTAGCTAGTTCAGTGCTAAATAATCAAAGTGACCTCTCAATACACATTTCTACTGTGTGTCTGTGGTGGAAGGGGCATATTTTTTATTTCGGTTCCATGAAATATTTCCCCCCATTGACATTCACTCTACTACCATCAGGATCAATAAAGAAGAAGGGTTGATAGCAGTGACCTGGCTCCTGGCTAAATTCCTAGAGGGGTGGATGCTCCCATACTGCTTAGAGCTCACACTGGGGAAGTTGTGGGCAGAAGGCCTGAAGCGTGCACATCCAGATCAGCTGTAAAAACAGTGACAGACCTCGGACTATGGATGCTCTTCCCTGGCTGGCTCAGATTTGACTCCTTGCTTTAACTTTTCACAAAAACTATTTGTTTATTTCACTGTATTTATAGACTGTAAAGCACACTCATCTATTCTTTTAGTCCTAAAAATCATTATCCATTGGCTAACGGTCAGAGTTGACCCTAATGAGGAAAGTTCGTGTTTAATGTCTCACTAGAGGGTGGTAATCTGCAGGCAGAGATTTTGAGCGGCATCCACATCTCAGCACTAAGCCGCCTCTACAGAAGCCACATGCTCCTTTCACACTGTGCCCTGTGGCTTAGGGATTCCCTGTGTCTTCCAGAACAACCGTGTCTGGGTTTAGTCTATACTAGAAAGTGTCTTGGATTAGCAATGAGACAAAT